TCCCCTGCTCCAGAAAGACTCCGTGGGGGTTGGACCAGATAATATAAAATACACTCTAGGTCCTGGGTCGGGTATTATATTGCGCTATGCATGATATCCCTTAAGAAGAGAGAGGAGAGGGGTTGGAAGTATGGTTGGGAAAAAATGATAACGCCACCAGGTGGTGAATATTTCTTATCCATTGATAAGTCGTAATAATTTATTGATGTATTCTACGTCGAAAGGGGGGTTGCCAAGTAGATATATATATATATATATACACGTGTCTCACTTGGTACTACTGTACATACAAAGTAACATAAATTCATCCCCATGGGGAGCTCTTCGGTAATTGTGACCATCCCTTTGTTACCCCTTCATACTTTCATCGACAAGTATTCCGTGACGTTTTAATGGCTTGAAATTAGCTCGATGAAGTTTAACCTTCATTTGGGTAAATTGCAGAGTTCGCTATACGTACGACAAACATGTAGTATATGCTATACCATATAGGTAATGAGAATTGATATTTCGTTCTTACTTCATGAAACTTGACGTTGTCAATTTATTTTTCAATAAAAGCCTTCACCCCATGCTTTGCCTTTAGAAAATATTTGATAAGTACGAAGGGGAGAAAGAAGGCTTTGGATATAATAGAGGAGAGAGGGGCTTTGAATTTTATCAAATTCCTATACCTGACGCGAGTGCGAGCGAGACAGACTTATGGGCGTTTACGTCCGCGCGAAAAGGACAGACGTAGCTTTACTGGAAATCATTGGTGATATGTAAAATTATATTTTCGCGAAATTATTGACTGTGCGAATACATGCTGCGAGTGTGTACGTATCGATATGATATAACTGTGTGTTTTACACGGATATTTTTATTTCTTATATAACAGGGTGAAATTTATCTTAATGTTCAATGTACGAGGAAAATGTAATGCTTACGGGATTCGTTTGACTTGCAATTGAGACGATTAGAAATCAATAATTGCGTATAAGCTCGTAACTTTTCGTTAGGTTTTAATACCTTTTTTTTAATACTCTTGCCGGACTGTACCTTGTGTTATATGTAATAGCCACTTCGAGAGTCGTAATTCTAATTTTCTGCTTTACATTATGTATGTACCGCCCGAGGCGAAAGTTTTTAGGTTACTGGACGATGGCTTTGCTGGATTTTTTTGTATGTTAAAATAACTTTTTTTTACTTGAAAAAAAAAAAGTTGACTTTTGGTATTTATCGCGGGACGATTAATTCGCTGGTTTGGATTTTAATATGTCAAATTTGGTCTCAAGGATTGTCTGGGTGAATCGAACGTCTATAAAAGTCTATACGAAGAAGTGATTTATTTGAGCAAAGTTCTGCTACTACAACTTCTCTGGACGATTGTCGTGATAATCCGATTTGAAAATTTCATAAGATTATGTTCACAGATAAGTTGTAACGTTGATATTGATTTTCTCAAACTCGCCCTGTAGCTCCTCCGTATCGCGTTGTTAACGCAAACAGCCGAGCACTTACAACTTGACTAACGAGTTTTGATACCAGTACGTGTGTACAAGCCTTAATCCGGATTATTTTTGTGTGTTTTTAGGTAAAGGCAAACGAAAATTTCTCATTCTGGAGAACGGGAGGGGGCACAAGGGATGCCAGCATGCCACAGTTTCACCGATCAAGCGTCAGGTGACAAACGGTCAGTTAATAAGATTTTATTGAAATATATGTAAAAAATGTATATGTAATCTTGTAAACTGTATAGTTTGTATCAAAGTATTCCTTAGTGAAATTTATAAATAATTATGTAAATTTTGTATCGTTTAGCCGAAGTGACCAAGATTGAACTGGAATTAAAGGAAGCACCAGACAATATGGAGGATCAACTTCCGGACGTTCTCACAGGATCAGTGCCCACCAAATTGGATCCAACGCCGGAAATAAATTCCACCAATTCCGATGGTCGGTTTTCTTTCGAATTTATTTTCTCCTTTTTTTTTCCTATCGCCAATCACACACTAGCCAATACCGCGCACGTTGAGGATTTATCGCCGTAAAAATCTAGAGTAAAATCCTCGACTTTTTGCTATGTTTCTCTTCCTTCTTTAAAAATGTCTGAAAATTGTACCGAGTACCTAACCTCAAAATTGGGTGTGTCTGTCGTGACATAAAATACGTCCCCGCGTTCCATAAAAGAAGATGGACAAATATTTACATTGCCATTAAGAGCGTATATGGTCTCCAATGTAAAATTACTACGATACAACAGCTATGGACGAGTGTTGAATAAAAAGGAGAAAATAAAGAAAATTGATATGTTTTTAGTAGTAATTTTTATTTTTATTCGATACTATACTTCTATTCTTTCCTTCGATAATTACTTTAACGTCTGATCGTACGATTTTAGGTTCTGGAGGTGTTGTCGTGCGTGCCGAAGAAGCTCTTATAGTCGTCCTGGTGCTGGTCCTCTGGGTAGCAGCAATTGCCTTGTTTTTCAATCGATGGGGTAAAATTCGCATGCTGGAACCGTATCAGCCAAAATTCCAACAACAGCACAGACCGAGTTGCGCAATTTCTGATCCAAGTCAACTGCCAGTGAGTTTCAGCGCACTCATTACCATACACCCTGCGGTTCTCTCTGATTTGCTGCTTCCACGAATTTTTGTATGATAGGTACAATGGTACATATACATGGTAAATACTAAATCGTACCCGGATGCGTCGGATGCTGGTCGACGAAGTTGATTTACAGATGAAATTTTCGCTCGACACAATTTTCCCATTCGTTCCATCGTTTCGCTTCTCAACGACTATCCAGAAAGTTTCGACGCTTTGAAATGAATCTGCCTGTATAAAAAAAAGTCAATTGTCAGAGCAAATAACGTTCAACCTTTTATTTATATCGTAACTTTATTCATTAACATTGCCTACCGTGAGTCGCAAGTGCCTGATAAATAGTATATATAGTTTTTTCGGAATTTTCAAAACTTATAAATATTTATCAAGCAATCATCGCAATGCGTCTTTCTCTTCGCTCCATCGCGATTTTCTTTTAACGTTGCTGCATCTGTATACGGTAGCCCCGTATTTCCTGACGGGAAGGATCTTATACTCAGCTTACTACAGGTTCTCTTGAAATCCGCAGAATTTGGTGTTGCGCAGTTGGCTACACTTTGAACCACCCACGAGTATCATACATAATTCTCCATATCAATGCTTGTTTAGTTTTACAAGGGATTTCCAATAACGTCCGGATTAGTACACAGCGGCGAGTTACGTTCTGGCAAAGCCCTTGATTTTCCCTCTGTACATACAAAACCACACGCTTTGCGTGTCACGTGCAGCACTGTAGGAGTTTATAGGTCGAAGGCGGCAGAGGTTAACACTACCCACTGTAATTACTGCAGTGTTTGCGTATTTTGGTCCAGCTCGAAATTCTCATCAAGGCTGACCACGTAAGGTATCTTTCCACTCGATTAATTGAAATATTAGCTGAAAAATTGCTCAAATTAATTCCTAATGATTTTTAATAATTCCAGGCAATAAACCTGGACTCTCTATACCCCAATGTCGCTCAGGACTGAAGAACTTTATTCTGCGTCTTTCCGAATAGTGAAGAAGCTGGAAAATAAATAAAGCTTTATCATTTTACTGAAATGGATTGGAAGCAATGATGTCGTCTATAGATAACAAGATTCTTGTCTGTACCGTAGCCCGGAGGCGTCTTCGGTCACGACGTCAAAGTGCTCTCTGGGGGTGTGCTTCGGGTGTTGCTGTGCTTTAATTCGTTCACCCTGTATACCAGTTACTTTTGACTGTCTAGTCGTGTATCCATATACTGTATATACCAGGCTTATATCTACTCACCGAGAAGCCATCTGTATAGAAGTACCCTCGAGGCTGAACTATCTACGCCTCTGTGCGTGTACATCGATCTCTCCCATAGCAATGATTCCGTCCTCTTTCATCGTTTGCATGTGAATTCGCCCTCATAACCTTTAAGCCCCTATAACTTTGGTCAGTCACGTCTCAATGTCTACTTGAACATATTTCCCATCTGATGTATCAGGTACCGTCTATATCGTGGTTTGGCAAATTACTTTGCATTATCATTCTCTCCTTTTTTTTTTTCTTTCTTGCCATACCAACGTAAGAGGATAACTTATATGCATAATGAATACAAAGACATTTTCCTGCGGTTTCTGGTTGGCCTAATGGGAAATGGCGTGGGATGAAAATTGCTCAAGTTTTTTGTGGAAAGAATCTTAAGGGATATCGTCAATGTCCCCGATAACACAGAGAGGGGCTTTGTGAACTGACACAAAGCGGCCGTTCAAGACAATGAAAATCCATCGAGGTCTCCCTTCCATCATTTCTGACAATAAGTAATGAAAGCGATCGGTCGTCGTTCGTTGTCTGATAAAATTTAAGAAATTTCGTGGATGACTTTTTGTTAAATTACTACACTTATATAGAACCACACAAGTATGGAGTGGATAGAGACAATACGAAGTTGGTTTACTGTTGCAGCATCGAACCTGCTCTAAATTCAACATCCACTGTCTGGATCATCCTGTGCACCAGAATAGTCTAACGTCGGCCTTGTCCCGTCCACGGCAGAACAGCGTCTTCGTGGGGTCCAGCGTGTCCCTGCTGCCGTGTGAGAATGCGCCGCGACGCGCCAAAAGTGCGTTCGACCTTCAGTCTCTGGTGATGGCTGAATACGCTGTACAAGTTCCTGTCGAGGAGGAGCCTCCGAAGCCTTTGAAGTCTCTGGAGATTCCAAAGCCGAGTTTTCAACGGCAGCGTGGCATGAGCATCTGCCATTTCGATCGCATGGACGTCCTGGCCAGGCCCTTGCAACGGGAACGGGGCATGAGCATCTGCCACTTCGACAGGACCGACGTCCTGGCCCGACCTGTGCAACGTGAACGGGGCATGAGCATCTGCAACTTCGATAGGTCTAGGACGCAGCGCGAGAGTAGCGCCAGACCCGGGGTAGCGGCGAACTTTGAGAAATCCTTTCAGAAGGAGAGCAGACTCAATGTCAGCAGCTTTGAGAAAGCCGAAGCTCAGTTCAGGAGCTTGCAGAGGAACGAACGGGGCATCGGTATCTGTCACTTTGACAGGGCGACCACGTCGAGCAAGTCGCCGGAAGTTAGTCACAATTATAAAGCCACGTGCGTTTAAGATCTGATCGACGTAGATCAGGATCTACGTGATTTTTCCTATGTAACATCGTATACCGTGGATCCAGCAGATTGGAACAATCGTGGATACACTGAAAAAGAAATTTTTGAAAAATGCCTTTCGCTCGTGACGACTTTTCGAAATTCACTTGTAATAGTTCACGAACTTAAGGTACTCTTTGTGCAATGTATATCTGGGAAACTGTAGACGCTCCTCTAATGGAGGAGAGTGTGTAGTCTTTGCTTTTATTTCTTTTGGTATCAGTATTGGATTGCAGAGTCAATTTTTATATTGCGATCTGATATACATTTTTACTGTCGGGTATCGGGAAAGAGCGTGAATGTCGCTTTTATTGCCCTTTTTTTTTTATACAAGTGTTCCAGGTATCTGCTTCAGTGGGCAGAGGAATTTCGAAATTTTGACACATTGACAAAGCTCCATCCAGCCTTGTAGACTGGCTGAAATATACTTAAATTATTTTTATGATCAAAACGAAAGCTTTAAGGTAACTGACCAACAATTACTCTGGTTTTAACTATATAATGTTACTATATATCGTTGTCTCTTCTTTTATCCTCACTCTTGCACTTACTCTTGTATAATCTCTTGACTATGCTCTCTGGCGCATCGACTCGCCTAATAGATTGATAAATATTGCAAAGATCAACCTATCAGCCACTCGGCACAAGGGACAACAGATTGTCATTAGTGTTGTCATTGACGCCAGCATTGAAAACCTCTACGATTCTCTCTCCGGTACAGTCACATGCTTCCGTCTAGAGTTTACTTACGTGCCACAGGCCTACGAAGGAAGAAAAGAAACGAGGAATCACGTAAGACTGCGAAAAGACGTAAAATAATTTTTAAAGAAATTTGCCAAGAGAAAGTAACAGAGTCGATCGAAATGAAAAATTGAAGCTTCGAGCGAGAAGGACGCACGTACGAACAACGAGAATCGAACGTTACGTCTAACCACCAAATGGATCGATTGTCGTCCGATGTAAATGACGTGACTCGCGTGGATTACGCTTATTACGTAATGTTTCCCAATTAATTGATCATTATTCGATTATGTAACTCGACGCTCACCGACCGGTTCTACGATTAGATTATCGACCTTGCGTCTCGGTTCTATATAAATACGTAGATAAATACACCAGCGGAGCCTAGATATTTACCTTAAAGTATATAGACCTTGGCGAAAAGTCTTGAGGCGGATATATAGCGAGCGTCGAATAACCATCAACTTTTCTTGGCTATTCCATTATCGAGTCGTAGCGTCGCGACGCTCCACTCAAACATTCTATGACTTCATCATAAACCATGTAAGTCAATACCTCGAGACCAAGTATTAGACTGTCTAAATATAGAGTTTATCATATTATCTAATATGCTCGTGCTATAGAATACAGTGAATTTAGATCTGTTAATGTTAACGAAGGGGACCTCCTATTATTTAATCTATATTATATATACATATATATATATATATACATACATATGACAATGTAGAGACACGAAACGGTACTATATACTTACTATACCATTTACTTCAGACCAATATACGAGATATATACAATTTAAGGTAGTATATATATAAATATATATTTACATATACATCTAGACTGTTGATAACGCGTACTCGCGGGAATCGTGTTATTGGCGAATTTTTATTTTCAAAATGTATTAAAATAATATTCGTCAGGAAATGTTTCTTTTTTTTTTTTAATGTTAACGTTAATCTTGTACATATCCAATTGATGGATAATTTCATTATTTAAATGGTATCTTGTACCTTGGACTGTTTTTCTTCATATTTCTTTCTCTTTTCTCTCTCATTCAATCTGACGTTTATCGTACACTCGTTACGGATCTTCGCAACGACTTTTCCTAATCCTAATGTCTCGCATTGGTACGACGCTACTCCGAGGAAGATGTTTAATGTAGTTACAATGAGCATTCGCCGTTACGATTCCTATAAGGATCTTATCCACTTGGCACAATGCCAAATATCCTTAGAATGTCTCTGCCGTGTGGGTTAGGCGAATGTGTTAACGGATAATCAAAAAAAATTATTTGACAAACGAAGGACAAACATATTGACGACAGGTACAATAAAAGGTAAAAGCGTATTTGAATCTTTCGTGAAAATTGTCGGTTCGGCGTTATTTATTCTAATATATATTTGAATTATTCATTGATGTACAAACTAGAGTGAAAGGATTCTGAGCTGACGAAAGTGTCTACCATGTTTGTTCTGTATAATAAAAAACATGACTGTATCTAACGAATACTGATTTCTCAATTCCTTCAGATTCCTTTATCAAGCCACAGTGCGATTTCGCGCGTGTCAACGTTAATAACCTGCCAATGCGGTGAGCTCCTTTTTATTTTGGTGACTCAAGTCGCCCAAAGACTCTCGAGTGTCTCGCAATCAGACACGTCGAACTGTCCGACTGAATCGAATGAAAACGTAAACACGACACGACAGGGACGAATTGGTTCCACGATCTCGTTAGCGCGTCGTAAAAACAATCATTTTGCGAATCACGATTTTAGGTTAGGTTGTAAAGTCGAAGTAATTATTATCTTTTCTTTGTGCAGTTGGAATTGGCAGTTGGCATTCTCTAGCAGTAAAAGGAAATATAGACGAAGAGGGAATGGAGGAAATTACGTTATTCAGAACGACCCATATTGATCTTTACGTTTACACTGTATTATTTAACCTAACGTGCTGAAATGCTGTGGGGATTCATTCGTTTTCCTCTCGAATTTATTATCCATATAAAATACAGGCGTCGATAAATTTGAGGGGTTTTTTTGGTCGTTCTTGCTGCTTTCTCGTTGTCTCTCTTCTGCTTTCTTTCCTCTGAGAAATACGATTGATTTTTCTTTACTGTTTTACTCATATCGACAGATATTCGTTTCTTACGAGTCTTCTGCGTGTTTAAAAACTTTTAGGCGGGCAATTCGAATCCCACGTACTTTTTATTCGTCCATTGAAACATCTTGGCGTTGGATTTTTTTATGGAGGATTGGATTTATAAGTTCGTAAATGTCAATCTGATAGTAAAGGAAAACGTCCGTGTGCCATGATCTTTCTCTTGTAGTTTCATTGGACTCTTGTTACGTTAGCTGACGGAATTATTCAGTACGTAACAAGCAATGCATTCATGAATACTGCGCAAATGGTACAGATACGTATAACGTTATGGATTTTCTAGTGATTTAATAAAACGATTAAAATTCGAAATTGTTTATCGCATAACAAGTGCAGTGGTTGGGGATACATTGTTTTGACGTAAAAAAAATATTTATATTTTGCAAAACATAAAATGTTAGCTTATCCGGAATGTACTGTTGATTTACAGAATTGATGAAAGTATATTAATATTTGTTCGTTGCTTTTATAAATAAAATGGCGCAGCAACAAAGCTTTCTAAATGTACAATACGAACGGAGCAATCATAACGATATTATCAAAAAACCAGATTCCTCGAATTCTCGTCTCGTATATTTTGGCCAGTAAATAGAAGGGAATTGATCCTTTGGACCATCGTAGGAAATTGCAATGTCGTTTGGAAAAAACATTTGGTCCTGATACGAATCTCGTTGCCAGAGGTGCCATCTTTGGTTATATGGAGTTTCGTATGGCGGGGCGTGATATTCCTAGGGTCGGCGAAACATTGTTTTTTTGCCTAACCTTTTCTCATAATGGAAAACCGAGAGAGAGAGAGAGACAGAGAGAGAGAGAGAGAGAGAGAGAGAGTGTAGCCACATAGGATTGTTAAAAAAGAAACAAAGAAAAGTACTAAAAACCGAGAGAGAGAGAGAGACAGTGGTTATATGGAGTTTCGTATGGCGGGGCGTGATATTCCTAGGGTCGGCGAAACATTGTTTTTTTGCCTAACCTTTTCTCATAATGGAAAACCGAGAGAGAGAGAGAGACAGAGAGAGAGAGAGAGAGAGAGAGAGAGTGTAGCCACATAGGATTGTTAAAAAAGAAACAAAGAAAAGTACTATAATTTTCCACGGTGTCATTCTTACGTGTCATCTGAATACGACACCGGAGAGTCTTCCGTTTTTCATAGTAGACACCTCTCCATTCCCGTAATCCCAGTGGTGTTTATTCCCAGAACGCGCAACGAGAAATCGTCTAGGACGAAGGAGAAAAATGTAGAAAGTCCTGAGGGTGTCTTTCCAGGTTAAAGAAGAAAATGATGGAATGGTGGTGGGATTTAAAGAAAATAAAACTCAGCATCCATCAGGCATCCACGTGACTCAACGCTGTGTCGAACCCTAAAGTAAAATGCATGAAAAAAATGTATTTTTATAAATTTTCCAAAAATCACACTCACCCCGTGTTTTTCAATAATTCGTGGTGCGACTACAGATATACTGTTGATTAATTTTATGGATTTTCGATGCGATCGATCGAGACCTGCGAACTGACATCCATCCCCATTGGCTCTGTAGCATCAGCTACCCTTATATAAGGGGAAACCTTTTATCGCTTGGCAGTTTAACGAGGGCCGAGTTTCAGCCTTGAAGCATCCCTCAGGACGTAGTCCTTGTGGTTTTCAGAGCGAAGCAGTCTATCGCGTTTTCATGGTAGCGGACGAGGCTGACTTCGCCGAAGCTGCGACGTAGCTGGAAGTCAAAACAAGGGACGTAAAGAAGCAAGAGACGAGCGAAGAAATGGTGGCGACACAGGAGCACGAAATGGAGGGATACGCAGCGAAGAAATAAAAGATAAATAAGAAAAGTCAGAATTCAAGACTCCCTATCTTCCCTAGGGATATTCGCCTCTACGGCAAAGGGGTGGCTCCCTAAGTAAGCGAACAGCCAAACGTTTTGCCACTTGTGTACCAAAAATAGGCTAAGTACGGCCACTCTTGGTATCTACGTAGTTCCGGTTTCCATGTTTATACATTGCCTTACCGCGTGCAAATGTCTTTGTTCGCGTTTCATCCCCCAGCCTTCCACTTCGCCAAACGAAATATCTTACTACCCTTATCTCCGCGTCCTTCCCGTTATCCTTCTGGGAGCACTGCCGGCAATCATTCGAAACGGGGTCGCAGTATTCCATTTTCTGTTTCTTTTCTATTTTTCTTTCCTCTTCTCCATTTTCATCTCCGTGGTAGTAAAGTAGACGATTCCTCGGATGAGCGGCTGCGACTTAACTGTCATGCAGTACGGTACATTAAAAACAAGTTTTCCTTCCAACAATTTAACCGTTATCTCTATTCTTTCTTTTGTCTACAGGTCTTTTGCCAAAATTTCATTGTTTTCAAAAACCTAATCAAACCACATATTATACATGCCTTGTCCCTAGATCGAATAAATGGATTTCTCTCTCTCTCTCTCTCTCTCTCTCTCTATTATCCACATAGACATACACGTTTACCAGCTGCCAAGAATAGCAGTACAGGAGTATGAGAAATGTTTATTGATGGTTATAAATATCCTGGCTGACAGTTCCATTCCAATGGCATTATATCAACTGAAATGATTGTTATCGATGACTGGAAGACCCTATAGAATCACGTTGCGAATATCTCCAGAGAATTCAAGACGCCGTATGTGCATCATACGTATTATGTGTCCTCTAGTCTTTTATCATTATCAAGTTCAAAGTTCCGACGAGACACTGCAATATTCTTCTGTAGTCGTTGACTTCAACGAGCATCATTCAGCAGGACTTATCGGGAATATCCGTACACAGGTCACCACCAATCGCAGGAAGAATGTATTTTATGACAACGGTTATCAGGGCCGTTTCTATCGGACAATTTCGCAGCGTCAGTCGTGTAGTGTTATCTGGAAGTCGAGGGCTGCCAGTTGAAGCGTGATGATGCAAGGGATAAAAAAGAGCGTAGCGAAGATTGCTCAGGGTAGAACGAGAAAGTAATACTGGTCATCATGGCGGATTTCCTGGTAAATCCTTTAATTCCATCGAGGAAGTGTCCACTTTAACGTATAATTTTTTAGATAAAAGAACCTAAAAAAAAGAGGACTCTTTAATTCGATTGAAAGGTTATTTGTATTCTGAGAGAATTATCGTCGCCATTTATTATGTATATGGATATTTTTATGATGCCGCCGAAAACCGTTTGACATTCTCACTCGTACTCAATATTCAATTCATTTCGGACACTGGAAATGGATTGGAATGGACTTTCCAGATATCCCAAAAGGATATTTCATTAGGCAGGCTTACCAACCAACCGACCCTTAAATTCTTTCTTCGAGATAAAAACAATTGAATTGAACCATAGCCTTTTTGATGTTCTCAACAGTTATCTTCAAAATGACCCAATAAATTATCTTTTTGGATTTTCTTTTATATACAGTAACGTCCAATTGAAGTGCAACACTTGAATTTTTGTACATATCTGTGAAGGTACGACAGACTTCGAAAAACCAAAGACATATTTTTTAGGAAATTTCCTTCCCGTTCGAATGGTAAAGGGGTTATTCCGATCGGATACAAAATGGCCCAATGGCCGGGGTTGGAGTGAAAAAGTGTATTTTGGAACTTTTTGAAAGATTCGAGATCTAGTAGTTCCGGAAGGAAATTTATATTTCTAATCAGGGC